TCTCCCATAACCCCTCTCCCCAGAAATTTGCACCATGACATGAACACCTTACAATAATTTCTCCTGTTAAAGTTGGAGCTTGATAAGGGCTGTTTTAGCAGCAATCTTTGGGCTGAAAGCTTGGGTAGATAACTACAGCAATTTATGGATGATTTATTATACTTTAAGCAGCTGCACTGGATTTGGCTTGGCTTAGCTTGACTTGGGTAAATCCATCAGTATTTTCTGGGTTCCCTGAAATAATTGCTGTAAAATGTGAAATTTCAGCTTTTCAGAATTTGGGGGTTGTTGCAACAAAACAATGTCTCCCTACCAGTGTTGCCCCCACTGGCTCAACATGCTGCATTGCTGACAGTTACCTCCTGCTTTTATTCTAGAAAGATGAAGCATCCCAAAGGAAAAGTTTTGCTCTGGTTTATAGATTTGATCCCGTTTCAGAACAAAGCTCTTATCATTCCAGAGCAGTTAAGGCCACTACTAGGCAGAGTTTCACAAATTTCCAGATCTGAAACTTTCTTTAATGTGTAAGTTACGGGACTTGGTAAGCCCAGAAAATCATGCAGGCTGGTGCTGACGTGGAATAAGCTAAGAGAAAAAGCTTAGTGTTTTGTAAAACTGTTGTTGACAAATCATTAATTTGAGCTTCAAAAGATGATGAGATAAAAATGGAAATTTTTTTGGATGTTTTGTGCAGAAAAAAAAATATTGGCTCATCCCACATCTTATATGTCCTGAATCAGAAATGTGAAAAAGTCAGGAGTTTGCAGCTGTGATACAGGGATTTCATTTATCATCAAAAGGAGAAAGAGCTCCTTCGTGCTGAGATCAGAACTGGGCTAACTACACAGTTTCCTTGTCCAGCCTTCGTTAGGCTGTTCCAGCAGCTGGGAGCAGTGATTTATTCTATCACTTTACCCGAACCCTGGTAAAGCATGTGGATCATGATGGGGCCAGGCCGCAGAGTGGGGTTTTTTCTTTTTGTCCTGCACTTGTATGTCATCAGGCTCAAGGGTGTCCTGGCCCAGGGTATTGCAGTGATAGTCGTGATGTTGATAATGATAAAGGAAGAAATAAAGGCAAAGTTTGTAGGTAGAGATGATACATATTTTTTTAAGCTTACTGATATATTTGAGAAAATCAGACAACTTTCAGTCATCTGAGCCCCTCTTCAGGTCTGGAATAGTAGCACCAGACTTCAAAGCTACATGTAGGATGAGAACAGTTTTACCTAGTGGGTATTTGTGGGACAGGGGTGTAGTTAGTCACAGAGAAAATGGTGATAAGTTAGTCACCTTTTGGGGCAAAAAGAAAGCTAACTATTTCTAAAACACATCTATATGCACATAAAGTATGTGTGCATGAGTATATACATGTGGTGTATATAAAAAGAAACATTTTTATATTATGACCTACAATTATCAATCCCTTATGTATAACTAATCTATGTAACATTTTGCATATATATGGTAAGAAACTTGCTCATCTCTTGATCTATTTCATACCAGCATTGCTAGTTACTTTTCCAAACTGGTGGAAAACCAAAATGTGCCCAGTAGTGCTGAAAAGGATCAGTGCTTCATCACTTGTTATGCAATAACAGCATTGTCCCGACTGCAGTGGCTGCCCCAGACAACGTGCTGTCGCTCCACCAGTGCTAGCAGATATGCTCCAACCAAGCACTTGGCCTGGCTGGATGTGTCCAGAGGGTACCAACCCACCCTTCTTGAACCAGTCCTGTGATGAGCACACGCTCCATAACTCAACACAACACCGTGAGTAGATGGAGTTAGGTGTCTTGGACTCCCAGTGTGGCCACCCAGCTGCCCTGTAACCTGCAGCCACTTGGTGAACCCCAGCACCACTTCCCAACATGTGATCTATGGTTTGGCTAGATAACCACCCTCCATGTGCCCAGAGGCACCCAAGGGTAAGGACTTTCATGCAGTGATGTGTTGATGTAGCACCAAGCACCGTGGTAGGAGGGATGCTGTGCAGCAGCTGCATATCCCTGCATGCCCATGGCTGGTAAGGTATGGAATGCAAGAGCAAGGCTGGAAAGCTCAGCCCCTTTTGCACATGCATGTGCAGAGGCACGCACAGGAGGACGTTTAGGACAGCAGCTCGATCACAAGGAAGTGGAGTCAGGGACAGGAGTGTGTGTGTGTGCACTGGGGACACAGGCAGGGAGCAAAGGAACCACCCGGAGAAGGTGACTGCGGGAGGAGAGGGGGCTATACAATTGGTACCAGATGCCCTCAGAAGCTAATGACCTGACAAACGCTGTGCTCATAAAACAAATTCTTTAAAAAGGAAGCAAATGGAAATATAAGCTAGTGAAAGAATTTGCAGCAGCTGCCCTGAAACCATTTCTCACTTCATAAACAGGTCTGCATTGAAAAAACAGCCCCTTTCTTGTTCTCCTTTGTGGTCCCCTCCTGTGCCCACCGGCTCTTTTAGGGCTGTGGCCTGCAGGTTTCCACCATGTCTTTGGCTCAGTGGACTTGTCCAGAGTCAACAGCAACAGCACATTGTGTTCCCTTAACAACTGTGTCAGCACCGATTTTTTTTTTTTTTGGGTGTCGTTTCTGGGATTTCTAGCTGTGCATCCTTGGCTGGAGGGGTTGCGTGAACGCAACAAGCAAAGGCTCCTTCTGCCTCCTCTGGGTGAAACACAGTGCACAAAAACTGTCATCAGTCCCACATGGAGCAGGGAGCAGAGGGGAGGCGTTTGGGTGGAACTCCCTCCCTTTTCTCCCCAGTTATCACCTGAAGCTGCAGTACTTCTGCCCCTTCTTCAGGAGGGCTGATGTCAGGTTTTGCACCTATACCACTTGGTAAAAGAGAAAGCCTGACCACCAGATAACCATTTTCCTGTGGGAGCTGTTGTGTCAACCCCGTGTCTTGGCCTCTTTCTGTCACAGGTAATTAATCTACTGGCTGTGTTTCACTGATGGAGACTGTAGCCCTCCGGCCAGCACTCGTCTTCACTATGGGATTATTTGTGATGCTTAATTTATCAGTACCTAATGACTAGTCCTTGGTGAGAAGCTGCTGTGGTGAGGAGGGGGCTGTTTATTTCCAAGGGACAAGTGACAAACTGCAAGCTTTCCTGGGATCTCTTGTGACTTGAGGTGGTGCACAGGGGAGGGTAATTCCTTGTTTCAGCTGCATCTTACCATGGTGGCCACAGCTGGATCTGTAGAGCTGGGCAGGTGTATGTTGACATGGTCTTGATCCCCAAGAACCTGGCATCAACATGCACAGGCTTGAAATGCTGTGCGGGCCTGTGGGAAGAACACAGGTGCTGAAGACCATCAAAGCAGAGTGAGAAGGTGACAAGAGTGGGGTGGAAGAGACAGCTGCAGCGTGTCCAGCTTCTCCCTTCCACCACAGGTTGTGGTGTAGCTGTGTGGACATGAAGCTTACAGAACTCTGCTGCCATGTCTGGGGGGGACTACACGTAGTTTGAAGAACATGTCATGGATGGTTCCCTAATATCTGCAGAGGTTTCTTCTCCAGCTAAACCTTTCCTTGCACTTGGAGAATCCTCTGTGGATTCTCTGCTTTCCTTGATTAGCCATAAATAGTGCTTCTATTTAATTAATGATGATTAATTGGCTGTCACGATGTCCTATATCTTAGTGCAAAATTAATAAACCAGTTTTGTACTTCAGGGTTTGGGATTAGTTCAGCCAGCTGCTTCAAATATGTAGATGTGTTTTGGACTGTGAGTGAAACACCAAGTTCCTGAGCTTTTGATGATGCTTTTGATGAAATTATTGATGAAATCTGCTAAGTCATATCTGCTGTTTCTCCAGGTTTGGAAAGGAGAATAGGGACTGCATCAATGTTGCTACTGTGATAACACAGATTAAAATTAAAGACAGATCCTGAATTATGTGGGTAAATCAGAATCCTCTGTGGATTCTCTGGTGTCTAATACAGGGTTTGACACACCATCGCCCTTTAATCAGCAGAGGCTTTAAAAAGGTCTTCTCTTCCTGACCACATGTTGCTGCAAATCTTGTCTTATTCTGTGCTAAGGCTGACTGAAATTGAGGTGTGGATTCAAGAGTTACCAGGAAGGAAAAACACCCAGTGTTACTGTTTGGGCTTTGTTGCCTTTGGAAAGTGCAGATCTCTTGCTATCCACTGTCTGTCCCCAAACACTAGTGTCTGAGACGTATGCATGAGCAGAGTATGTAGGGGAGGACACATGTGAGTGACTGCAACCATGCGTGAGTCTAACGGTGTCCTCCGTATAGCACTGCAAAGCGTAGTTTCAGGAGGTGTCTTGCCACAAGCTCTCTGGCATCCAGTATGATTTGAGCATGTTGAGATATTGTTGTGTGGTGGAGGTCACCTTGCTGCAGGGAAAGCTGCAGCCCTCTCAGGAAGGTACTACAATGGCTGCTGTTTATAGCTTTACTCCTTGTGCATTCAGGAGTGCTGCTTGATAAGACCATCTAATACCAACTTTCCCACTTGGGCCATGGGAGAATTGTGGCCTTGCTGGATATGCCATCTACCTGCCCTCCCCCTGTTACCTCCCTCCTCTCAGTGTCTGTCCACCTGCACTGAGCACCACCAGCCCCTCTGGTGCCAGGCTGTGTGCAGGCTCTGTGCGATGCAGCTTGCACACCCTGGGGCAGAAGAGCTGGAGTAGCCCCAGCAGACAGCATGGATTTTGGAAGGAGCGTTTTTGGGTGGAGCGTACCTCCTTTCATCAGCTTGGGAGGACACAATGGTCTGTGGGAAGGTGTGGACTGGGACTGGGCTGAGGTCTAGCCAAGGTAGAGCTGGGAAAAAGTACCCTCCTGGGCGTCAACTTCAGGAGATTTCAAGCCTGGGAGAAGCTGGGGCTAAGGGATAGATGTGCATCTCTGTAGGCTTCTGTGACCCTCTGAGCACCCCATGCAGGTGCCACCTGGAGAAAGCCCCTCCTTGCTGAAGAAGTCCTGGGACCCACTGGTTGATCCCTTCCCTCTTTTCTTCCATAGCTGTGTCCATGGTGCCTGTGCAGGATCAGGAAGCTGCACAAGGCCACTGCTTGCTCACGCTGCCACCCTCAACTGTACCTCTGATGGCCCGAGGCACATGGCTTGCACCGTCACCTGTGAAAAGGGCTTCATCCTCCGCTCTGGCAATGGGAAGGGCCTAGGCTCCATACAGGTGAGTGGACCGTAGAGTGGGGGTGATCTCATGGCCTGTTGGACTGAACGCTAGTTAAGAAAGGTTTAAACACCCCGAGATGGTTGGAGTAACCCCAGAATACCTTGTTCCTCCAGCCCTGATCTCTTTGCTGCTTTTCCAACAAATCTCAGCCCAGTGGAGGCTCTGGTGCTGGACCTCTGTGCTGGTGGCTGGTGGTCTTGGTCTGGAGGCCCCTCTCCTTCCGTTGCTGCAGTCCTTCCAGCTCTCCCAGCCCAGTGCTGCCTGCAGACTAAGGCTCTGCCAGGCTAAAAGCTGCTGCAGGGGGTGTCCTGAGCCAGGGTGATGCACTCCCACAGAGGGAGAGGTAGACATTTCTGTTCTCAAGATGGGCATTGCTGAGAGGGTTAAATCTCCCTGGGATGTTTTCTCTTTTAAAGCTGAAGTTAGTGGATCAGGAAAAAATGAAGTCACTGCAGAGCGACTATATTTAGAGGCAGCTGACAGCACAGAGAGCTTTTCTTCCTTTGTGTGGCATTGCAATAAGGCTGCCCACACCAGCAGGGCAGCGCAGAGGTCACCGTGAAAGAGTTTGTACTGCTTTCCAGAGGGCTGGGGGATGCCTCATAAAAACCACAAGCCAACATGGCTCTTGGCCATTGATGCAGGAGACCTGGTACTGATGCATCCTTGAGAGTGGGGCTGCCTCGCATCTGGGCAGTTACCTTGGCAGGGTTGTGGGCACAGTGTGTCCCATCCTTAGGCTGTTCCTGGAGGGAAGCAGGAGTCTCTGGGGCTGAGCTGGTCCCTGTGCCAGCCCAAGTGAGAGTGTGAACTTGCACAGGGTGGAGGCAGATGGAGGGGAGTCAGGCCATGTCAGCTGGGTAGACCTTTCCTCTCCTCAGAGAGTTGCAAGTGCTTGTGATACTTGGCAGGCATGTTTCCCGTGCTGCCGCCGTTGGTGTTTGCTGAAGGAGAGGTGGGTGCTGGAAAGAGCAATGGGACAGCTGGGGATGCACCACTCGGCCCCTTGTCAGCAGGAAGGTTATTAATTACACGGCTGCATGGCTCTGCGGGCCAAGGCATGCCCAGGGAAAACAAAATGTTCCCGTTCTCTGAAATAAAACCACACAAAATAAATCTGCCTCGGGTGACAGTTTTCCTGCACTTGGCAGTGAGATGGGAAACTTCTGGACAGAGCTTTGCCATGTGGCTGTCACAGCAGATGGCAGCTTGCAAATGCCCTGCCCTGAGCCCCCCAGTGATGTTACTGGTTTTGCTGTGTGACCCTACTCATCTTGAGGCATTTTGGGAAAATGCACACAGGTCTCCCCGAGCATCCTCTCTGCCTGGTTCAGCTACACCATGATCCTGCTGCACACCCAAGAGTACCAGACTCAGATTTAGTGATGTCCTTCAGAGCCACCACATCCAGGTTAAATCAAAACATGTTGCCTGTGAGAGCAGGTCACACATTTGACTGTACGACCAGCATCGTACTCAGCCAGTGAAGGGACATCAGGAACAGTTGAAAGACCTCTTTTGGTCCGCAGCCCCTGCCTGAGGACTGCTGGGCTGGGGTTAGTGATCTGGGAGCGGAAATCATAGAGCAGTTGGGGCTGGAAGGGACCTTTAAAAGACCATCCTGTCCAACTCCACTGCCATGGCTAGGGACACCTTTCACTAGACCACTCTGCTCATGGCACACTGTCATACACTACACTGTTTTGATGAAGTCCATGGCACATGCAGATCATGGGGGTTAAGTTCTCGTGCAATCCTCCAGCTGTGTAAGAGGGGCCATGTAATCAGGATTTCTAAATGAGGTTATACAAACCTCTGATTTCAGTGGGGTCTGTGGTTGAGGCATGAGAGAATCGTTGCATTTAGGGAAAAACAATCAACAGGAGAGCTGCCTGTCAATGGTTGAGGTTAACTTGTTCTCATAGGGGAGAAAATGGCAGCACTCAGAGCTGGGAACAACTTGTAGCTCAGGAAGTTGTAGCGTATCCTGAAGGGATTTTCCTTTTTCCCTTAATGTGCTCTGTCACAGCTCAGACAATGTGCATGCAGCTAGTGTTTTCAGGAGGCAAGCAGCTACAGACCAAGCATTAGAAGGTCTCTTCTGCAGGTGGCTTTTGTATTACCTCAAGGGCCACTCACTGCTTTCACACCCCAAATGTCACCCCGTGAACAGGTAAGAGCTCCATGACTTGGTGTCCAGAGTGGGGATAAAGGGCACATTGGGGGAGGAAAAATGGGGGAAACCTCTCCTTGTCCTGAAACCTGGGTCAGCCCTTCCTGCTGTGGTAGCAAACTGGTAGATTAAAGCTCACTCGCAGAGGTCTGATGGAGCCTTGCTTTCTCCGCAGCAGAATGTCGTGCTGACGTGCATCTCAGGACGGTGGGACAGATCTGTGACTTGTGACCCTGTTGACTGCAGTGTCCCTGACCAGTCCCATGTGTACTACGCTGAGTTCTCCTGCCCCAAGGGGACCACCTACCTGCAGAGATGTTCCTTTTCCTGCATCCACCCAGCCAAGCTTCAAGGTACAGACTGGAGAGCTGAGAGATTTAATCACCCTTTTTGGTGCCATGTTTCCATGCCTCTCCCAAGCTGCCCGAACAGAGCACTGGTACTTCGAATTTCCCAGTTATCCTGGCTTCTGCCAGCCAGGTGGGCTCTTGAGAGACTTCCTGAAATAGTGGGCATCCATCCTCCTTGAGCAGAGACACCATAGTGTAGGAATAGTTCCCTCCGACTCCCATCTGCTGGCCAGCAGCCCTTATCCATCTCAGGGTGTAGGGATGTCTTCTCCTGATAGCTGCTGAGGTCTGGCAGCCTCCAGTATTATGGGGACAAGGGAGGCAAGAAGCATGCAGGCAGCCAGCGCGGACAGACAGACAGGACTTCAGAGAGCCAAAAGTGGCTCAGTGTCTGGTGGCTGTGGGAAAGCCTGTGGTTCAGGAGGCCTGGGGCTGTATAAAGCTGTAGAGACTGATGCCCACAGTTGCAGAGCAGTCTGGAAGATGTTCACCACCCAGACACACAGCAGCCCCCAAGACATGCCATGGCTTGGCTTTCACTCTGCCGACTCCATCAATAGCCGCAGGAATGTTTTTAAGTCAAGTCAGAGAAAGAGCTACTGTTCCTGTCTATACAAGGCTGAGTTGGATGGGATTTCGGGGGTAATCGCCTTGACAGCTTCAAATATTGGGACTTTATGTGAGTTTCCACCAGTGCTTTTGCTCTGAACAATTGCATACAACAAATCATTTTAATGGCTGCCCTATTTTATGGAGACATTTATAGCTGAAACGTATGAAAATAATTTACTTTTTTTAAAAAAAAGTTAAATCCAAGGAGCAAAAACTGCAGGGAATTAAGGTCTCATTTCACAACAGGGGCATGCCAGCAGATCCCCAGTGTGAGCTGATCAAAGGGTAGCACATGAATGACGACTCCACAGCCCAAATTCTGCATGAACCAATGCTCGTTGCCTTGGGTGGGTCAGCTCAGGGCAGGGCTTTAATCTGATCCCTTACTTACAGCCGCCTCTTGTTCCCGCTGAAGTCAACAGGAGGTTTGCCATGGGCTCCCTTGGTGGGAAGGCATCCCCCCGGTGGAGCACCTTGGGTGACTTCCAGTGGCTGACACGATGTCTGGTGGTGCTTGGCCAAGGCTGCCAAGCTGTACGGGTAAAGTCTTAGAGGTCCAGCCGACTCGGCTGAGCTGTCGAGGCAGGGACGTGCTTGATGCTTGTTCTTCCTGAAGGCTCACATCCTTATGGGCAGGCTCTCAAGGCTAATAAATACTAAG